CCCCCCCAAAAAAATATTCAATTATTTCCTTAAATATTAATAAGCTTTTTAATATTCAACTATAATTCTTATTTTTTTTTTGTTTTTTTTTTGGAAAAAAATTAATTAATTTATTTTTATTTTAAGTTAAAAATTATTTTATATGCCTATGATAAATGTGGTGAATCGTAGATATCATTAGCTGTATGCCTGTATGTCTGTATTTGTCAATTGTTTTTTAGAAAACTATTTATTTCAGTACATTGGTATGATTATGAACCATGGAACAATATAGAAACGAAACTCGATCAGCTGATTGGGGGGGGGTCTTGTTTACCTATGATCTGAAGTCTGAGCCTCCGAAAAACATGAAAATGTTTCCACGCACCAATATGATGTTAGGCCCAAGGTTACCCATATTATGATAACGTTCCGGAACGTTGGCGGGATACGCACGCGGGGTCGGCTTGTTTACCATTCCCTATTACACGTTCTTCGACATGAGTGCATTTATGTACTGCCTTATGTTTATTTACTTTAATTTTCAGTTTTCAATAATGTGTTTTTAAATTCGGCTAACCACGTGTTTTTTAATTCCCTATTCGTCGCAGTAGTGAGCTGTCAAACCTAGTTAGAACAATGGATAACCATAACAATGGTTCAAATAAAAAGTGTTTTTCGATTTTTAACTTTTCAACTAAAAAAGATTCTAGTACAAACGAAGAACAACTAGATCAACTACATAACGATAACGTCGATTCTCTGTGTGCAAGTAGCAGTCTACCACATGACATTGCTCATGTTGTGCCATCAATCACTGTTACTTCTCATAATTTAATTCAATTGAATCCAAACACAGAATGCGATCTTGGGACTTTGGAAACGGGTCCTATTCAACCAATACTAAAAGTATGTATTTACACCTATGTCCTATAATTATCAAACCAATTATATTTAATTGAAGTATATTAAGCTTTATCTGCTTCTAGTTATAATTTGTTTATTTAATCAGCTTATAATTTAGCGCATAATGTTTATTGAATTCAGTTTTATCCTAAAACCAAATTTGGTACTCAAAATCGATCCTTTTCATCGGCTTACTTTAAAGAATTTAACTGGTTAGAATATAGTATCAAGTTAAATGCCTTGTTTTGCTATGCTTGCCGTTTATTTGCAGTAGATTCTGGTCATATCGAAGACACATTTAAGACTGTGGGTTTTAATAACTGGAAAAAGGCAAGTATTCCTATTGTGTACTTATTAACATATTAATATGTATTACTATCAATTTTATTATGAATAATTATTGTTTTTTTTCTTACATTTTAGTTGGCTGGTTCAAGAGATGCAAAACAAAAAAAAACTAAGTTGCAAAAACATGCTCAAAGTGAACATCACTTGACAGCAATAGTTAAATGGGAGTGTTACATACATTCTAAAAAACTAGGAACAAATTCAGTAATTTCACAGTTGTCAGCAGCTAGCAAAGATCAAATATTGAGAAATCATGAATATATGAAATGTCTAAGTGATATAGTGTTATACCATGGCCGTCAAGGAATTGCACTACGAGCACATAGAGAAGACGAAAATTCATTAAATAAAGGTATTGAAAGTTTGTTTAGTTAGTTTAGTTTTTATTAAAATACAACTTATTAACTTGTTAATTGAATTTTAATATAATATTAATTTCAAATAATTTTTAGGAAATTTTAAAGAAATGTGTTCTCTTTTCGCAAGACATAATTCTGATTTTGCTAAAATATATAATGCTGAAAAAAAAAACTACACTAGTTGGGCAATACAAAATGAGTTGATAACTATTTGCGCAACATATTTAAAAGATATTATCATTAATGAAATACGAGAATCAGGAATGTTCAGCATACAATGTGATGAAGCTCGGTAATAAAATAATAAATTAGTAATAAAATTAAAATATATTATCAATACTTAACCATATTTTATTCTCATATATTTAATTAGATTAGTAACTTAACTAGGTATAGTAACTAGTAAGGTATTTAAAACAACACAAATTATCTTGAGTATAAGTATTATTATTTTCTTTTTAGAATATGTATTATAATATTTTGTTCTTATTACAGGTGTCATAAACAAGAGCAACTAGCACTTTGTATTAGATATTCAAAAAACTTAGAAGTTTATGAAAGATTTATTGAGTTTTATGATGTCTCAGAAAACCAAAATGCTGATTCCTTAGTTGCTGTTTTGCTTCATTTCATTAATTCTTCAAATTTGAGTAATGTCCCTATTATTGGACAATCCTATGATGGAGCGGCAGTTATGTCTGGATCAGTGGGAGGTGTTCAAACCAAATTAAGACAATCCCATCCTTCAGCATCTCAAGCTGTTTATGTCCATTGCATGGCTCATAAGGTTAACTTAGTCGTTGTGGATATGTGCAAGCATTTAAAAGTAATAATTGCAATAAACAATGTTGATACTATTTTAATTTTTGAATATTTTAGGATGCTAGGAATGTATTTAATGGTCTAGAAGCTTTATATGTCCACTTTTCTAAGCCAGCTAAAGACCAAAAATTGACAAATATGCAAAACAAACTTGGGTTGAAAAACACTAAACTAGAACAACTAAGTGATACTAGATGGGTTTGTAGATTTAAAAGCTGCAATGCACTTATACAAAACTATAAATCTATATTAATGACATTGGATGATGAAATACTTGAACAAAAATCAAAAGATGTGGCACAAGCAATTGGTACGTTATTTAAATTATTTAATTATGAGTTATATTCTTTTTTTTTTAATGTTTTGTACCTATTTGATTATAGGAGTCCGTGCAACAATAAGTAATTTCAAATTTATATTATATTTATTTATATTACATGAAGTTCTTCAGTCCATACATATATTGAGTACTCAGCTTCAGTTAAAAGGAACAACTTTGGGCCAATCAGGAAATTTAATAAAAGGAATAATTTCAACGCTCGAAAATAATCGAAGTGCTGAACATTTTTCTCAACTTTGGGATGATATCAAAAAATTTTGTTTTGAACATAATATTTCAATTAATATCCCATTACAAGGTAACAACTTACACTATAATATTATACATCAGTTTAAATGTATAAAATACAGTTTAATGATATTAACAGGATTAAAAAGACTCAGAAAAGAACCTACTTACTTAAGTGACTATGATGTAACTTTTTCAACTGCCGCAGAACAGTCCAACAATTATTTAAGCGATGATGATTCGGATAAAAAAGAATATTGGAAATTAAACGCCTTCTATGTCATCATGGACTCAATTATTTGCAGTATGAAAATACGATTTTCTGAAAAAAGTTTATGCCTTGCTACTTCTGCTGATAGACTAATGCAATTTGATTATGAAGGAAGCTCATTCCTGGTTGAACATTATAAGGTAGGTTACATTTATACAAACCTTTTAGTATTTACTATTTACAATGTAAAACATTTCATAATAAAAAATAAAATGTATTTTCAGGATATATTAAACATTAACGAAAAAAATTTAAAAAGCGAAATGTTGGTGTTCAAAAATATTATTGGTGATAATATAAAGGACTTCAATTTTATAAAAGAAAATTTGAATAAAAAAGTGTTTCCAAATTTATATTTAATGGTACAAGTAGCCATTACTTTGCCGATTTCATCCGCCACATCAGAACGCTCTTTTTCAGCTATGAGGAGGATAAACACATATTTACGGTCCACAATGAACCAAGATCGGTTTAGTAACCTATCAATACTCCATATTGAAAAAGACATTGAGATTCCAATTGAACAAATATTAAAAATATTTATTGATAAAAATAAAAGAAAAATGAAACTTTGAATAAATAAATAGATTTTGTTGTTGTGTACTTGTGTTATTATATTTTTTGGTGAATTTTTAGGGGGTGTGGGGGCATCGCCCCCACGGGTTACTTTTCATATAATGTCAGGTGGGGGCTACAGCCCCCCCAACATTTTAGCCCTAGTTGCGCCACTG